CCGCCCAGACTGGCTACTGGCATGGGGCCACACAAATCTACATGCACCAGCTCAAAAGGTCTGGTGGTCACTCTTTCAGACCTTGGGTAGGAGCACGTTTTCACCTTTGCCCGCTTACAAGCCCTATAATCAATAAATTTAGCACATGACTTCATTTTGCACCCCTCAGTGCACTCTGGGATCTTCTTCACGTAATCCCAGGACACGTGACCCATTCTCTATTGCCAAAGATGATGGCATGCATCATGGACTGGAACGTTGGCACATTGCGCTTCAGCTGCCTCAGTGGTACCTGGACCTGCAAGAGAAGCTTCTAGCACAAACAGCCTATCTTTACATTCCACACTGACCAGTTGTTGCCCATCCCTGGAAATAAAACACGTTATTCTCAAAATAGACTCTGTAACTATCAGCAAGAAGAGCGGCAACAGATAGCAGACAGCAGGACAATCCGGGGACGACAAACGCCTCTATTGACTCCTGTAAGAAAGAGCAGAACAGTGAGCCAGATTGTGTCAGAGGACGTTTGGTTCCATCTGCAAGACAAACCGATTTCCCAGATGTGCAGTTCCACAAAAGACCACTAGATGGCACAAGGTGGTGGGAGGCACCAGAATCGATTACAAAGGTCAGCACAGCGTCCTGTTCACACCCCTTTACTGTTGCCATGGAAGCTGCTAGGTGCCTTTGTTCAGAGCTATCCCTGCCAGTTCCCTTTGTTTTCTGCTTCCCATGTTTCGTAGATGTGCTGGGTCTTATCTGTTGGTTGCTACAGGAGATGATCTTGGGTCTTTCCGGAGCCTCTACAGGGCAGTATCTCACAAAATGGGAGGGGGACCCGCATCTGTAGCAGCATCTTGAAGCAAATGCCCGCACAGTATCCCCTCCACTCCTTCCTACGTTCCCTGCACCCCCACCTTTGGGTGCACAGCCTGGGCCTGAAGCTCAAACCCCAGCTCTCTGTCTCCTGGCCTCTTCATCACGTGGCCTCCAGGAGATAAAGCAGCAGCTCCCAGCTGTGGTTTCAGGAACGTGGCCTTCAGCTCCCTCACGGCCCTTGGCTCCCACTCGGCCCTTGGCTCCCGCTGTGGTTACACAAACCCTCTCCAGCGCCTGCCAAGCAGCCTGAGCCATCTTGAGACTCTCAAAGCATCCATGCTAGCTCTCAGCATACACAGTACCTGCTGCTCTCTCTTCAGAGCAGCCTCCACGTCTGCTGCAGCAGCTCCAGCAGCAGCCTGGAAGGGTGGAGTTGGTTCTCTCTGAGAGCAGCTCCAGAGCCCTGTGGCCAAAAACCATCCCCTTGCTTTTCTTGACCAGACCTCCCAATTCTGGCTGTTGAGCCTTTCAAACGGGACATTGAAAGTCCCTTGAAGTTTTGCCATCTCCTCCCCCGGGGCTCAGTACTCACGCGTGCCAGCTGTCTTCCGGTGACAAAGTGCCTGCTTTGTCACAGGGTGGTTGTGGGAATAAGATGGTGAGCAGGCAGAAGAAGTGTGTACGTCGCCTGCAGCTTGTTGAAGGAAAGGCAGATTGCCATTGTAAAATAATACAACATATTGGGGGTGCCAATGAATAAAATATTGCGGGGTCCAGGTAATCTGCGTCCTGCATAATTGATCACATGACGCAGTGCAGCCACCCCATTTGACTGGCAGTGCCCATCGACTTGAGGGGAAGGACCCGGCCCCACAAATATTTTATTGCGGGGGGTGAAGCCCTAGGGCTCCTAGGAGGTGGCTCCTGTGCAACATATTAAACCCACTAAAGCAGAGAAAAGGCTGTAGTCATTTACACTGGTCAGTGGGAGGAAGAATGAAACTAAGCCTTTCTAAAGAAGGACATGCCAAGCCAGGCAGGTAAAGGAGGGGGAAATGAAAGATGATATGGCGGAAGGGGAGGGGGGACGCTCTTAGGTTACAGATCTGGCCAAGTTCTTCCAGTGACGCCTTTGCAAAGCGCGTGCATCCTGAGGGTGGTCCATCTTTCCGCAAGAGCATTTGATGCCATGCACACCCCCAACATATATATGTGTGCATATGTGTGTGTGAGTATATATATATATATATATATATATATATGTATATATATGCTGTGTGTGGGCGTGGGCATCACTTTCAAGGCAATATATATATAGATTGCCATGAAAGCGAAGCCCGCGAGGGGCCCTATCCTCCAGCCAGGCTGGTTTTGCATCCAAGCCTCAAATCCAGCGTCCTTCTTTGCGGGATCCGGATCCCTCCTCCTGCCTTGACCCGAAAAACGCAACTGGCGAGGCGCGCAGGTAGTGCTATTTGGGGAGGAGAGGGAGGGTGAAGGGAATAGAGAGCGCCCGGCTGCCTAGAGAGGCCTGGAAACAGACCCTCCCCTGTCCCCCCCCCACCTCCCCTCCGCGCTCGTCTTGGGTGGTCCCTCCTGATGCAGAGGAAGAGATGCGGCGCGCAGGGCGAGGGGTGAGTCGTGCCAAGGGGGAGATTTCGTGGGTGGGGGACCCGAATACGAGGATGTTGGGGGGCTGAGGGGGGAAGGGAAGTATTTCTGGGAGGGAAGTCCAGCCTTCTTGCTCCTGCTCAGGAATCTCCATTAAGTGACATCCCTGCACGAGGCGAGGGGCGTCCTATTCCCCCAAGCCTTTCTTCCCTGGAAGCTGGATTCCTGCCCCCTTCCTCCTCCCAATGGGGAAGCCGGATCTTCTGGGGGATCCAAACGTGGGGCGCTGCCTTACACCGAGTCCGCCCTTCGGTCGACGTGGGTCAGAATTGCTTAGGGTTGCTGCCTTTGTTCTGGCAAAATACGAGCAGGGCGGTGGGGGGGGCGCGCTTGCGGGAGTCTTTATTATTATTATTATTTGGCGCTGAATTGACTTCAAAGCGACCCATTACAATCTATTGCAGCCTAATTCCCCTCTGTGGAATTTTATAAAAATGCCTGCATTATTTTTCTTCTTTCTTTGAGTCCTGGCCATAGTCTTTTCTAGGGTACGCGGTCTGGGGGGAGGGGCTACAGCGGAAGGGAAGCCAGGCTGGAGGAAGAGAGTTGGGGGAGGACCTGGCAGCCAGCAGAGTAGCTGGGGAAACCTTGCCTGATGGGCGGGGAAATAATAATAATTGTTTATTATTGTGGGTTTTATTTATTGAGGTCACTGGGAGCTTGTGGCCAGGGAGGCTGCAATGCCAAAGCTCCCATCTAACAGAGATAAAAGTAGACGCAAAAGGCATGACTCTAGTCATCATGATGATGTTATTATATATATGCCACCCATCTGGCTGGGTTCCCCCAGCTATTCTAGGCGGCTGGGTTTTCTTGCGTGGTGGGTTTGAAGAGGAAAGCACCCCTCTTTCACCATGGAGACTGTGTGTGGTATCTCCACACACAGTGACTTACCCTTCAACAGCTAAACCTCTGGAGCAGGAAAATGCTTCCAGGTCTGTGAAGCTCCTTTTGTTTCTTCTTCCCTCTCAGGAACCTGCAGCTTGTTTTGGCTTCTGAGCTCCCTAGGAAGTTTGAAAGAGTCTGATCCTGCAAACCTAGCGAGGATGGAAGGGGGAAGATGGACGGTTGACTTGGTCAGGCTGCCTCCTGCCTCCCTCCCCAAACCTGTTGAGCATTCCCTCCCAGGGCCCTCAGAGAGATCTGGTGAGTTCCAGGGGAGTGGAGATAGGGACACAGATGGTCAGTAGATGAATGGTAAAGAGGGAAACGTCCCAGGCTTTTGAATTTTAGGTGTTATGTCTACAGCAGGACTCCTAGCTAGTTTCTAATCTCCCCTTCTTGGGAAAGGTTCTTTAAAAAAAAAATTCGGGTTTTTTTAAAGTAACAAATGCATTTATAACGAAATAAATTACAAATCCATAAACAGAGATTACTCTGTATCGCATGACTCCCCCCCCCCATCCCCTCTGTGGGTTCTAATATTACCATCTACAACTCCATATCAGTCAGTTGTCCATATTTTCCCATCCATCTGAATGGTCCATGATCTGTAATACCTTACCAGTGTGGTTAAAATCCTGCTAATGTTTTCATCTATTTACAGTGGTATCCTAGGTAAATTATAATTTCCCCCCATTCTCTTGTCCTCTTAGTTTTCTCAAGAGGATCCTCTTTCAGGTCATCGTCATCATCACAACAATAACAATAACAATACAGTGGTACCTCAGGTTAAGAACTTAATTCGTTCCGTAGGTCCATTCTTAACCTGAAACTGTTCTTAACCTGAAGCTCCACTTTAGCTAATGGGGCCTCCTGCTACTGCTGCGCTGCCGGAGCACGATTTCTGTTCTCACCCTGAAGCAAAGTTCTTAAGCCGAGGTAATATTTCTTTTTTTTTTTAGTTCCATTTTATTTTATTTATACAACAAGAAAAACAACAACAACAAAAACACAAATACCAAATTACACACAAATTACAAAAATAACCATAGACACAAAATTTTATTAGCAAACAATAAAACATCTATTGGTCTTAACACTAAAGACCCAACCTCCCGTCTATTCCATATTTCAAGTTCTGTCAGCTTTTGGATCCAACCTTGTATAGAGGGGATTTCATTACTCTTCCATTTTGCTGCGATCAAAACTCTTCCTGCCGCCGTCGCATATAAAAAGATACCCTTCCTCTTTTGTGGAATATCCAAATCTATTATTCCCAGAGGTAATATTTCTGGGTTAGTGGAGTCTGTAACCTGAAGCGTATGTAACCTGAAGCGTATGTAACCCGAGGTACCACTGTAGTGTTATTACTTCTATCCCAGCCATCTAGGCAGCTGGGTTTTCTTGCATGGTGGGTTTCAGGAGGAAAGCACCCCTCTTTCACCACAGAAATAGTGAAAGACTTACCCTTCAACAGCTAAATGTCTGGGGCAGGAAAATGCTTGCAGGGTCTGTGAAGCTCCTTTGGTTTCTTCTTCCCTCTCAGGAACCTGCAGCTTGTTTTCACTTCTGAGCTCCCTAGGAAGTTTGAAAGAGTCTGATCCTGCAAAGCTAGCGAGGATAGAAGGGGGAAGATGGACGGTTGACTTGGTCAGGCTGCCTCCTGCGTCCCTCCCCAAAACTGTTGAGCATTCCCTCCCAGGGCCCTCAGAGAGATCTGGTGAGTTGCAGGGGGAAAGGGCAGGGATGGATGGAGACAGAGGGGGGAAACACATTGGCAAGGTGTTGGACAAATATGTCCCAGGGATCTTTACCCAGAGGGTGTCAATTTATTTGTGGGACATAGGAATTTGTTCATATATTTTTTTCAAAATATAATCTGCCCCTCCCCACAAGTTCTGAGGGACAGTGGACTGGCCCCCTGCTGAAAAAGTTTGTTGACCCCTGGTATAGAGTCTCACAGGTGTCCCCTTAAGTCGGTGGGTTGCTGAGGTCCCAGCGGCAACAGAACTCCGTCAGACCGGTCATGCGCTAAAGGTGTCGTCCGGGCTTCGCTAGGTGAGGTTGGCAATCTGGGTTCACCTGCCTGCATGCTCCACCAAAATTGTTGGACAAATTATGTCCCAAGGAATCTTTACCCAGAGGTCATCTGCCACGATCGGGCATCACTAGATTTATTGCCGTAATAGGACTGCACGGGCGACTCCTTAGCTCATACTGTAAAGGAGTGCTCATTCCAGCTTACATCACACATAATTTATAACCTAAAAGTGTTCGAATATCCCTCCTACAATTCCTATTGGTTAAGAAATTGCAGTTTACAGGCTTCCCAATCCACCTACACATATGTCCCCCACCAATAACATGGATACCATGTCCATTCAAATTAGCCGTTTCTCCTTTAGGGGTGCATATCCATGAAGCGTTTGAACACGTGTACTAGTTCTTAAACTATCACCTGCTATTTCTCCTTGTTATCTCGAGTCACCTCTAAACTACAGTGGTGCCTCGCAAGACGAAATTAATTCGTTCCGCGAGTTTTGTTGTCTTGCGATTTTTTTCGTCTTGCGAAGCACGGTGTCGGGAAAGTTTTGGAAAAGCTTCAAAAATCACCAAAGTCTTTAAAAACCTCAAAAAAGGCTACCACACCGCATTCTATGAGTTGCTCCTTGAAGTCAAGTCGCAACTGGATTAACGGTGTTAAGAAAAAGGAAACAAACTTGCAAGACGTTTCCGTCTTGCGAAGCAAGCCCATAGGGAAAATCGTCTTGCGAAGCAACTCAAAAAACAAAAAACCCTTTCGTCTAGCGAGTTTTTTGTCTTGCGAGGCATTCGTCTTGCGAGGTACCACTGTATAAATCTATCACTTTCAGGGTCAGCATGGGCCTTGAACACATTCTTAGTCTTTCTTAGTCTTAATTGCACCCTCTAACACGAAAAGGAGTTTAGGGAGAATCCTTTGATTCAGCTAAGGATTCATTTTTATGCATTTATTCCACATTGGGGCAGGACCTATTTTTCTTGCATGGTGGGTTTCAGAAGGAAGGCATAAGAGGAAGACCCCCCCCTCTTTCACCATGGAAACAGTGAAAGACATCCTTCAACAGCTAAATGTGAGGCTACCATTGTTTATTCTTACCTCAGGAATCTGCAGCTTGTTTTCGCTTGGGAGCTCCTCAGGAAGGAGGAAAGAGTCTGATAATGCAAACCTAGCGAGAATGGAAGGGGGAAGATGGACGGTTGACTTGGTCAGGCTGCCTCCTGCATCCTTCTCCAAAACTGTTGAGCATTCCCTTCCAGGGCCCTCAGAGAGATCTGGTGAGTTGCAGGGGGAAAGGGCAGGGATGGATGGAGACAGGAGGGGGGAAACACATTGGCAAGGGGAAAAGGTGGAGAGGAGAGAAAAGGCAGGAAGAAGGAAGCAGAGAGGCCTTTTCCCATGCTCCTCTTTGTTTCTGGAATCTGCTTTCATAGAGGAGCCAGAAACCTTTTTCCTCTCACAGCGTTTTGATTTTACATGTTTTCCCCGCACTACATGATGAAATGATGAGGATTACCTAAACTAATACAGAAATATGGGTAAAGGGTGTTGTGGAAATGCTTTTAGTAATTATAGATTATTTATTTTTTTGAAACACTTCTACCACTTTTATTTTTTTCTAAACAATTATAATTATGTATGTAATTTATATATCGCCCTTCATACAAAGATATTCCTTGAAACCCTAAAAGCATTTATCCCTTTGCTTCAAAGCAGGTGGTGCAGACAAGCGACAGAACTCTGCAGAATGTGGAATGAGCTTTATTGATGGTGGAAACCTTACAAACCATCAACGAACTCACACGGGGGAAAAACCATTTCAATGTAATGAGTGTGGAAAGAGTTATAGTAGTAATGCCACTCTTAAACAACATCAGCGAATTCATACAGGGGAAAAACAATATGAATGTGTGGAGTGTGGTAAGTGCTTCAGTGAGAGTGGAAAACTTAAAAGACATCAACGGACTCACACAGGAGAGAAACCATTTAAATGTATGGAGTGTGGAAAGAGCTTCAGTGAAAGTTGGTCCCTTCATATGCATCATCGAAGTCACACAGGGGAGAAACCATTTAAATGTATGGAGTGTGGAAAGAGTTTCAGTTATAGTTCAAGCCTTGCTTTACATCATTACACCCACACAGGGGAGAAACCATTTGAATGTATGGAGTGTAAAAAGAGCTTCTATGACAGGGGAACACTTAGAAAACATCAACTAATTCACACAGGGGAAAAGCCATTCACATGTATGGAGTGTGGAAAGAGCTTCCGTCATATTAGTTCACTTCGTGTACATCAACGGACTCACACAGGGGAGAAACCATTTGAATGTCTAGAGTGTGGAAAGTGGTTCAGACGAAAGACACACCTCACTTCACATCGGCGAACACACACGGGGGAGAAACTATTTAAATGTTTGGAATGTGGAAAGACTTCCACTGATAGTCGAACACATGCAGAACATCAACGAACTCACACAGGAGAGAAACCACTTAAATGTATGGAGTGTGGAAAGAGCTTTGGTCAGAGTTCCAACCTTACTTCACATCAGCGAACTCACACAGGGGTTAAACCATTTAAATGTATGGAGTGTGGAAAGAGCTTTGGTCAGAGTTCCCACCTTCGTACACATCAGCAAACTCACACAGGGGTTAAACCATTTAAATGTATTGAGTGCGGAAAGAGTTTCCGTCAGATTGCACACCTTAACATACATAAATATACTCACACAGGGGTGAAAGACTTTAAATGCTTGGAGTGTGGAAAGAGCTTCAGTCGACGACATAGACTTAGTGAACACCAGAGTACTCACGCAGGTGAGAAACCATTTAAATGTATGCAATGTGGAAAGAGCTTCAGTAACAGTGGAGCCCTTAGAACACACCAGCAAACTCACACAGGGGTGAAACACTTTAAATGCTTGGAGTGTGGAAAGAGCTACAGTCGACGTGATAAACTTCGTAAACATCAGAGAACTCACACAGGGGGGAAACGTATGGAGTGTGAAAATAGTTTCCATCAGAGTGCACAGCTTACTTTACATAAACGTACTCACACAGGGGAGAAACCCTTTAAGTGTATGGAGTGTGGAAAGAGTTTCAGTTGGAAGAATCAGCTTAATTCGCATCAACGAACTCACACAGGGGAGAAACCCTTTAAATGTATGGAGTGTGGAAAGAGGTTCAGTGAAAGTCGCTCCCTTAATAGTCATCATCGAACCCACACGGGGGAGAAACCATTTAAATGTATGGAGTGTGGAAAGAGTTTCCGTCAGAGGACACACCTTACTTTACATAAACATACTCATACAGGGCTGAAACACTAAATGCTTGGAGTGTGGAAAGAGCTTCAGTCAACGTGAGAAACTTAGTGAACATTCACTCAATGTTCATTCTTTTACATAGAATTCTAGAATGCTAGAGTTGACCGTGGACATAATTTGAGGGGGTTTTGGATGGGGCAGTGTGGAAACACATTCACTTTATTTTGCTTACTTCTTTGGAACAATGAACCTCAAAGGCAGACTAGCATGACAATCCACCAAGAGGTTCAGTGCTGTCACTTGTGGACTGAATCAGGACAATGGATATTTTTCACAATATGTGGGTTAATCAGATTCCCAATGCCAACTCCAGTGGTGCCTTGGTTTAAGAACAACTTAGTTTATGAACAACTTGGAATAAAAATGCTCCAAACCCGTAAGTAGGTGTTTGGGTTGGTGAACTTTGCCTTGGAAACAGAACATGTTCCGCTTCCTGTTGAGTGTGTTCCATTTGTAAATCGAGTCCCCCGCTGCTAATCAGAGGCTTCCTGTTGAGTCTGTTGGCCGTTGAGTCCGGAGCACCCACATAACAGAGGTGATATTTGGAGCTTTTGTTTTTGCTATCTTTTGTGTTTTTGTTGGTGTGGCTTTTTCATCTTTTTTTTACTGTGACTTGTTCTTCATTTTATGGTACTGACTTTTGACTGTGGCTTGTGACTTCGTTTTTGTGACTGTGACTTGTGACTTCGTTTTTGTGACTTGTTTTTGTGACTGTGTGGAACCCAGGTCAGCTACTGGTTGATCGTGTGACTGCAGAAATGGATACAGGGAACCAGGCAGAGGGCCTTCTCGGTAGTGGTGCCTGCCCTGTGGAACGCCCTCCCAGCAGATGTCAAGGCAATAAACAACTATTTTACTTTTAAGAGACAACTGAAGGCAGCCCTCTTTAGGGAAGTTTTTAATGTCTAATGCTGTATTGTTTTTAATATTCAGTTGGAAGCCACCCAGAGTGGCTGGGGAAACCCAGCCAGATGGGCGGGGTATAAATAATAAATTATTATTATAAAAGTCCCTCATCCAAACAATTACTATCATCAGTGCATGTAAGAAAAAAATAATTTTAATTTTTATCATCTACAATACTGTCTTATTTATTTTATTGTACAGCACATTGATTATTGCCATCCTTTTATGGATCAGTGGTCTTGTTAGATAGTAAGATTCATGTTAAATTCCTGTTTTAGTGGGGGTTTTTCATTGTCTGGAACGGATTAATTCATTTTCCATTACTTTCTATGGGAAAGCATGCCTTGGTTTAAGGACAGACTTCCTGAACAGATTAAGTTTGTAAACCAAGGTATCACACTGATTTTGTGTATGAAAACAGCGATTAATAAAAGCGGTGGACTTGTAATCTGGTGAACCGGGTTGGCTTCCCCGCTCCTCCACATGCAGCTGCTGGGTGACATTGGACTAGTCACACTCCTCTGAAGTCTCTCAGCCTCACTCACCTAACAGTGTTTGTTGTAGGGGAGGAAGGGAAAGGAGATTGTTAGCTACTTTGAGACTCCTTAAGGGGAGTGAAAGGTGGGATATCAAGTCCAAACTCCTCTTCTTCTTCTTTTTCTTGACTGGGAAGTCAAGGAGGAGGAGGTTAAAGCTGTCATGATTAAATGGGCACAGGATTTGGGGTATAACGGATATGAAATAGTGGGAATATTTATGGAAAGTAAATTTGAAATTAACAGCGGGCTATACCTTGAGGGGAAATTTCCAAAAAAATTCAATACTTTTGGTATTTTACCCCATGGAAAGTTTCAAAAATGTATAAAAACGTTTCTAGTAATTGTTGGAGATATGGAGAAGGAACAGGCACAATGTTCCATATGTGGTGGCTGTGTAAAAAAAATCAAGGTTTTCTGGGATGACATCTATATAGATCTTTAAAAAATGTTAAATGTTTGTTTCCCCCCAAAACCAGAAGCCTTTTTATCACAGGCCCCGATATTCCTAGAAATGTAAGAGAGGTCTTTTTATACGCCACTGTTGCCACTAGAGTCCTAATAGCGACAAATTGGAAGAGTGATAAAGTTCCTTCCAGGTTAGAATGGTTACAAGAATTGGTCTAATATGCAGAGCTAGCCAATCTAGCAAAAAAAAAAAAAAGATAATTCAAAACAAGTATTTATTTCAAAATGGGAAGTTTTTAAAAGATATCTTAAGAACAGTTGTTGCAGCTTGAACTCGGTCACAGCCTTTGAATAACATCTGTAGCTGTTTTAAGTAAGAAAAAGGACACAGGAGAAATAATATTTTCTTATACAACAAGTGGATGTGTTTTTGCAATAAGTCAGTAATGGTTAAATAAAGTATGGAGACAACGGGAAGTCCAGTGTTAAATCTTTTCATATGAGCATTTGAGGAAAGAAAAAGCCACCTCAAATACTGGAGCAAATTTTTTTTTTTATGATCCCGTCAGTATTTTCAATGCTACTATTGCAGAGGGTCACATGATTGGATGTTTCCATTTCTTATCATTGTTTGTGTATAAACGGAAGTCAGGTTGACGAACCTCTGCTCTTTGTTTCTCTCTCTCCAGACAGAGAGATGTGTGAGAAGACACTCACCCCATGTTTCTTTCATTTTCTTTGCTGTAAATAATAAATGCTTGACGCCACATTTCCTGCGCAATCTTGCTTTCGCTGACTCTGCTATGTGTGCACATATCTTTCGGATGTGTGCTGAAGAGTTTACACGACTCCCCCTGCCCCTCTCACCAAAGAATGCTGCATCCTGTCTGGGACATTTGCAGGAAATGTAATGGGGGTGGGAGGACCTCCAGGAAAGTGTGCGTCCCCCCATGAGAACCAGCATATGCAGAGCACTGCCGGATCAGTCCGAAGTCTGCTTCATGCAACAAGCACTGCAGATCCCAGGGAAAGGTGTCAGTAGCCAGCCAATGTCTGTAGCATATGCCCATTTAGAATTTGCTGATACACGGCATCTGCATTCACATTCAAGAGGGAACCAGATGTGCACACATCTGAGATGGGGGACACCTGGCTCTACAGCCTCCTTCTGGCCAGGAAGCTCTGCTCCGATCTCCTGTTGCCATTGCTATTGCTGCTTCCCTCAAAGGGGCACCACCGCCAAACCACGCTTCTCACTCTGCATCACCAAGCCAGCCCGCCTGTGCTGGTCCCGGGGGGTTACCGTGCAGCGTGGTCGAAGTCCGGTCCTAGGTCGAGGGTAAGGAGGCTGTCCGTCAGGGGCAAAGCGAGGGGCGAAGCGAGGTGCAAAGCGAGGAGTCGGGCGTGGTCAGGAACTCAGGAGAGCAGGTCAGGGTGCCGGCAGGAACAGGTTACCAACGAGGTTGTTCCCGCAACCTGGGACTGGGCTGACTGGCCTTTATCTCCTCTGAGGCCTAGGGCGGTCCCGGCCCACAGGTGACTCGCCTCTCCTGGCCTTAAGACGAGCACTCCTCCTGAGAGAACTTAGTTCCCTCTGCCTCTCTGCCCTGAGCCTCTGCAGCTCCAGAGAGACTGGAGGGTTACTGAACCCAGAAGCAACCTCACCTTCCCCTGGCAGGGCTGGGAGAGGAGCACCTGCAGGCAATGGGTCCTCAATCACCTCTGGAGCCAGAGCGGATTCAGCTGGTGTCTGCTCCTGAGGATCCGGCACAGGTGAGGGCCCTTCAGGTTCAAGCCCCTGCCCCGGCTCAGCCGGCCCTGGAGGCGGGGACGCCTGTGCAGGCTGGGATTCCTCAGGTTCAGCCTCTGACTCAGATTCCCAGGCCATCACACCGCCAATCAAAAGGTGGGGCCTCAAAATGTCCAGAAATTTTGTGTCCAGCTCTCCCCGTTGTGGTCATCCCCCTTCCATGCATGTACTCCCTTGTTAGCAGCACTTGTTTGCAGTTGAGAGAGCCCAAGCACCTAACCAGTGAGAGGAGGAAACTTTGTTGACATTTCCGTTCCACCTTAAGGAACAGACATGGGATTGTTACGTGTCACGTCTGTTTACATTCCAGCACAGTATGCTGGGAACTTCCTTTGTGTGTATAGCTTTTGCTTTTCCTGTTCTCTCTGAGACGACATGAGAGAGAGAGAGACGACATGTTTCTTTGTCCTGATTTATGATTACTAAATCTTTAGTTGTAGTATGCTTTCAAAAGCCTCACGCCTATTCTGTGTGCGCAGTTCTATCTGCTGATAGTGTGCCCTGGCTATGAAGCCCAGGTTGCTAACGGAAGGAGATGGCACAGCTGGGGCTTGCCAGCTGGTCTCCCAGCCCTCTGCGTGTCAACAAGCTCCTCCTCCTCCTCTGTGGGACAGGAAAGTCGGAAGAGCCGCTGAAGGGCAGGAACGGAGCTGAGGGCAAGGGCTGCGGCAAAGGCCTGGTGAGCTGCAGGTTGGACCACCCCGGTCTAACTCATCAGATGCATGCCATGATGCTGAAATGAACAGTAGTCCAGAAAAACTTAAACCATCATAAATTTGCTACTATATAGATTTGCTATTGTGGAGTGAAAACACTAGAGACAATATACCATATAATTTTGGACTGTCCTCTGTCTGACATTCTTCGGAGAGAGACCTACTGGAGACCCCTTTGAAGCTTAAAGTATCTACTTCAGGCATCCCCAAACTCGGCCCTCCAGATGTTTTGGTACTACAATTCCCATCATCCCTGACCACTGGTCCTGTTAGCTAGGGATGATGGGAGTTGTAGTCCCAAAACATCTAGAGGGCCAAGTTTGGGGATACCTGATCTACTTGCAATGAATTTGTAATTCATCATTAGGTAAAGATTTCATATACGTATCGCAACATTAATAATAAATAAATAAATAAATAAATTTTTTAAAAAAGAATTTGTAATCCAATATCTGTTGAGGAATGGTATACGTACTTGAAACCATTGAGATGGTTTCAGGATATTTAGCAGAGATTTTAAAAATTAAATTGTTTGAATTAAATGTTTTATGGATGATTTCCCCTCCATGTCTTTTATGATTTTATTGTCTAAATCTTGAATATATATATATATATATATATATATATATGCTTTTAAATTTTTTATTATTTATACCCCACCCATCTGGCTGGGTTTCCCGAGCCACTCTGGGTGGCTTCCAGCAAAATATTAAAATGCAATAATTGCTGAATACAATAAAGGCTGAATAGATGAGTATACTACATTGTTGGCGCATGAGCATCTACTTTTGGGTTTCATCATTTTCTTTCTGCAGCAGAGTTCCTTTTACAGAAACGATTTCCTGCATCTCTTACTGTACTTCTTTACAGCAGTGGCAGTATTCCAGCTATCTCTGGAATAAAACCATTTGTTTCTGTTTCTCTCTTTTTTTGTTGTTTCTCAGAGTCTTTATTATTTACAAAACTTTACGCTGGTCATTAATATAGAAACAAACAAAGAAACATAATAATTGTCTCTTTTTAGCCATCCGGCCAGAGACCCAATGCTGACCCATTCACATACTCATTTACACTGACCCAGACTTAGTTGATCGCATGCCCTGAGAAGGACACCTCTTGCTGGGGAGATTTTCTGTTGCCTAGCAACTTGTTCAAGGCCATAGAATCATAGAGTTGGAAGGGACCCAAGGGACATCTACTCCAGCCCCCTGCAATGCAGGATTCTCAACTAAAGCATCCATGGCAGATGACCATCCAAGCTTTGCTTTAAAAACTCCACCTCCCGAGGGAGTCTGTTCCACTTTCAAACAGCTCTTACTGTCAGAAAGTTCTTCCTGATGTGTAGTAGGCATCTCCTTTATTGGAAGTTGAAGCCATCGGTTCGGGTTCTATCCAGCTTGAACAGAACCCCGTCGTTCCTCAAATGGAAGTAATCCTGCTCTTCATTCGAGCTGATGGCCTATGAGAGGACCAGGGAGAAGACTACGCCCCACGGTATAGTATGCCCCACGGAGAACCTGAAGGTCCATAAATAGTAACACCCTAGAGGTCCCGGGCCCTAAGGAAGTCAGATTAGCCTCAACCAGAGCCAGGGCCTTTTCATGCGCGACTGCTGAAAACCGGAAGTAACCCAATCTGGTACTTCTGGGTTTTGGCAGGTCCGTAACCTGAAAAAACACAACCTGAAGTGTCTGTAACCCGAGGTATGACTGTACACACATGTATTTGTCCATGTGGAGATGTCAGTATTGAATCTGTACCTCAATTGCTGCTGGCTTGCACTCTTAAGGATTTGAGGAGCGATGTTATTACCTCTCTGCTACTATCCATCCCAGCTCAGGTGTGTCCTTTCTTCTTCTAGATGAAGATGAAGATAACCAGCAGACAGCAAAAACTGCAGAAAATTTAAGCAGAGGCAACGAGAATAAGTTCTGTTACCTGATTCTCTTTCTAACATTGCACAATTTATTTATTTTTAATCGAAAGAAATCCTATTGCTTGCTTCCCATGTTTTATCTGCGGCCAGAGGATCGTGTATTAATTATGGCATTTGTATTGATGTCAATTTGTATTGATGTCAATGCGGGTGGCGCTGTGGGTTAAACCACAGAGGCTAGGACTTGCTGATCAGAAGGTTGGCGGTTCAAATCCCCGCGACGGGGTGAGCTCCCATTGCTCGGTCCCTGCTCCTGCCAACCTAGCAGTTTGAAAGCACGTCAAAGTGCAAGTAGATAAATAGGTACCGCTGCGGCGGAAAGGTAAACGGCGTTTCCGTGCGCTGCTCTGGTTCGCCAGAAGCGGCTTAGTCATGCTGGCCACATAACCCGGAAGCTGTACGCCGGCTCCCTCGCAACCCCAGAGTTGGCCACGACTGGACCTAATGGTCAGGGATCCCTTTACCTTTACAACTTCCCTACTTTGCATAGCTACGGTAAGCATTTGTCTCTCTCCTCAGTGCTTTGTGTTTTAATCTATAGCTTTGGCTAGTGGCTGATGCAAATTCAGAAGGAAGGGGTGAGGGAAAGACTCCTGAGGGGAAGGGCAAAGGCAGTGAGGAGGAGGAGGAAGACTCCAAGGAGACAGAGATGCAGGAAGACATGGGCAAGCAAGTAAATAAAGGGAAAGGGTGGGAAGATGCCCACCTTGGCCCCTGAACATTCCTCAAGTCTCCCCATGGAGCCTCAACTCACCAGTTGAAAACCATTGGGCTAGAACAATTAAAACTTGAACTTGACAAAACTCAAAGTGTTCTGCCCAACATCAACATGGGGGGAAAGCCCAGGGCTGTTCCCAAGACACTTGGGCACCTGAGACAATGCACAAAATGGCCCCCACCGAGGAAGAAGGGGTGAGTGAAGATCTACATCAGGAACGAAGGGGGAGGGGAATAAAGATAATCCATATTGGGATCTGCTTCTCCTGTAGATCCTGCCACCCAAAGTGGTCGCTTCACCTTGCCTCTTGGTTGGGTGGGCCGGTTCTGGGGGCATCACTCTGGATACGCCTTGTAGAGAAGAGGGGATGCTCAGTGGTGAAGAAGAAGAAGAAGAAGAAGAAGAAGAAGAAGAAGAAGAGGAGGAGGAGGAAGAGGAGGAGGAGGAGGAGGAGGAGGAGGAGTTTGGATTTGATATCCCACCTTAGTCTCAAAGCAGCTAACATTCTCCTTTCCCTTCCCCCCCCACAACAAACACTCTGTGAGGTGAGTGAGGCTGAGACTTCAAAGAAGTGTGACTAGCCCAAGGTCACCCAGCAGCTGCATGTGGAGGAGCGGGGAAGCCAACCCGGTTCACCAGATTACGAGTCTACCGCTCTTAACCACACCACCACACTGGTTCTCAGTGAAGTCCCTCCTCCGCCCTTCCTGGCCCCAACACTTAACAACAGCCCTGCAGTGCTTTCCTGCCGAGTAGGTTCTGTCACCAAGCACTTGAGGGTCACTGACAGCCCCAGAAAAAATGATGGGAAATGGGGTGAACAAAACATGGTCAGATGTGGGGGTCCAGGAGCAGCACCCCTTATGCCCCCAGCCAATCCCTTTGCATTTATGCAGAGACTAAAACCATCTCCCTCCCACTCGCACCTTCTCCCCCCAAAAAGAGGAAATCCCTGGCCTCTTGTGGACTTGGAACTCCCAAGACTGTGAAACCCAAGGCAACCTAAGCTTAGGGGGATACCAAATTAATGAGACTGACAGTCACACACGCTCCAATCAAACTGTGAAACTTTATTTGAATAAATGGAAGGCAGGCAGGAAGAAAAGAGGTCAAACAGATTACGAGATAAAGCAAGGTACTGTAGCTCTTAAAAATGGTCTACTCATGGTCTATTGACTTAATCTAGCATTCAAAGCTCATTGATGAGTAGTACAGGGGATGGTCAGTGTTCCTGTGGTATGGAAAATGCAGCCAATGAGTTTTAAAATGCCAAATTATTTTTTAGTACAGAAACCTTTTCATTCAGCTGGAAAATCGTATTATAAAAATGGTATTCAAAGGATTATGTAAAGTTCAGGTAGTGAGCACCTGTTGTATCTCAACAGTGATGCTGGTCAAAAGGACCAAGGTAGGTCCATCATTTGGGCAGTGAAAAGGGGGCATCAAAACTCAGCTCACTCACCACCAAGACTCCAGATTCACACTCTCACCTGTATTATCTAACATTACCTCTTGTGCACTAGTTTAATACATGTGCCTACAAATTTACATACAAACACCAGAACACCACACAAACGCCATACATTTAAACTTTATTTTCCCCTTTATGAGTTTGTAGATGTTTAGTAAGTCCTGACCCATCCCTGAAGCCCTTTCCACACTCCATACATTTAAATGGTTTCTCCCCTGTGTGAGTTTGATGATGTCGAGTAAGGTGTTCACTCCTATTAAAGCCCTTTCCACACTCCATACATTTAAATGGTTTCTCCCCTGTGTGAGTTTGTTGATGTCTTCTGCAATTTGCCCTATAAGTGAAGCTCTTTCCACATTCTATACATTTATATGGTTTTCCTCCTGTGTGGATTTGATGGTGAATATTAAGTGTTGAACCAGTACTGAAAGTCTTTCCATACTCCATACATTTAAATAGTTTCTCCCTTGCGTGAATTTGATGATGTCGAGTAAGGTGTTCACTCCTATTAAAGCCCTTTCCACACTCCATACATTTAAATGGTTTTTCACCTGTATGAGTTCGCTGATGGAAAGTAAGTGCGCTGTTCCTACTGAAGCTCTTTCCACACTCCATACATTTAAATGGCTTCTCCCCAGTGTGAGTTCGTTGGTGTGAAGTAAGGTGCTCCTTCCGGCTAAAACATTTCCTACATTCCATACATTCAAAAGGCTTCTCTCCTCTGTGAATCCGTTGATGTACCCTCAGGTTTGAATGATGACGGAAGCAAAATCCACATTCCACACATTTAAAAGGTTTCTTCTTTACTCCCAATGAAACTACAGGTGGCCCTCTAGAGTTCCGACTGTCTTCTCCATCACCTGCATGGCAAGGGAAAGAAAATCTTGTTAGGCTTTCAAGGTAGAGAAGAAAGCTACCGAACACACAAGCCCATTTAGCACATCTCTTATTTTAACAGACTTTCCACCTCTTCCTGTCTATGTTCCAAGTTTTTAGGAGAGGAAATTCTGTCAGGTTATAACAACAACACTTGCTGGTGTGTTCAAAGGTTCCAATTATTAGTGAAGCTCTTGCCGCACTCCACACACTATAATAATAATAATAATAATAATAATAATAATAATAATAATAATAATAATTTATTATTTGTACCCCGCCCATCTGGCTGGGTTTCCCCATCCACTCTGGGCGGCTTCCAACAAAGACTAAAATACACTAAAATGTCACACATTAAAAAATTCCCTGAACAGGGCTGCCTTCAGATGTCTTCTAAATGTCAGGTAGTTGTTTATCTCTTTGACATCTGGTGGGAGGGCGTTCCACAGGGCGGGCGCCACTACTGAGAAGGCTTCTCCCCAGTAACCTCACTTCTCGCAATGAGGGAACCGCCAGAAGGCCCTCTGCACTGGATCTCAGTGTCCGGGCAGAATGATGGGGGAGGAGATGCTCCTTCCGATATACTGGACCAAGGCCATTTAGGGCTTTCAAGGTCAAAACCAACACTTTGAATTGTGCTCGGAAATGTACTGGGAGCCAATGTAGGTCTTTCAAGACCAGTGTTATGTGGTCTCGGCGGCTGCCCCCAGTCACCAGATTAGCTGCCGCATTCTGGATTAGTTGTAGTTTCCAAGTCACCTTCAAATGTAGCCCCACGTAGAGCGCATTGCAGTAGTCCAAGTGGGAGATGGCTTCTCCCTTGTGTAAGTAAGGTTTGTAAACTGACGGAAGCACTTTCCACACTCCATGAATTCAAATGGTTTCTCCCCTGTTTGAGAAGGGGAGGGATGTCCAGAGATTAGCTATGCATTACGTCAGAGCTTTCCAAGATGAGTGTCACAGTGTGGGAGCCAGGAAGTCATGGAAAAGGCTTGTAGCGCCACCTGGTGCCTCGCTGACCTGGGTGACCTGCATGTCCGTGCCTTGCAGTGTATTAAGTGCATAGCCTTATATGGAGTTATGTTCCCCCTCTGGGCAGTATAACCTTATATGGTTGTGGGTGGGTTAAAGCCATGACCGGATGTAGGTAACATGAGACATTGGCAAACGGCCATGTGAGAGGAGAGAACAAAGGATAATAAAAGTTAGGGGAGAGAAGTTCGAAAGGAGCTGCTCATACCATCCTGAAAATATTGCTGGCTCTCTGTGTCTTTATTTTATGCTAAACAGCGCCATTTGTGACGGCTGGCTCCGTCAAGTGGTGCCCCGTGTGAGGCTGACTAAAAGAATACGTCTGAGGCTTTTAAAAGAAAACCGTGTGAGGTTTTTCGATCCACGCAACGGATATCATCGGCTCACCACGCCCGGCAAGGGTTTCAAGCGCTTCACATCTTTAAAAGATCCCGGTGAGTTCTATCCCTCTTTTATCTTGATTTTAGAATAATGGGCAGCTCTTTGTCTACTCCCCAACAGAAATTTTTAAAAGACTTAAAATTTCTCCTCTCCTCCAACAAATTGGAAGTTCCGGAGGGTGATTTGATACAGCTTATTGTGGCCATCGATGAGTATTGCCCCTGGTTTCCTGCAGATGGGACTTGGGAATTGAAATATTGGGACAAGATTGGGGCACATTTTCATGGGCACCCCAGCATTGGTATTCGGATTCTAAATGCATGGTGCAAGGTTCGTTACGCCATGGGCTCTTTATCACCAAAAAATATCTCCATGGCTGCATTGCCAACACAACCTCCAGCTTCCTTAGTCCAGCCTGCTGTGTTAGCGTCTGTTCCAATACTTGCTTTGCCAGCAGCCCCAGACCCCAAACCTCCGGACTACAGTTCCTCACCAGAGGACCCAATCCTGCAAAAATACCGTGGTCTGGCTGGAAATGACCCTACTCTTTCAGCGGCAGAACCAGCTACCCCTTTTCAACGTGCAGTCCTTGCCTCTTCCTTAACTCAGGATACTATGGCATTCCCTGTTATTGTGCCCCCTGCTGGTGCCGCGGCAGGCACCCAAGCCCAACACCAACCTTTTGACTTTAAGATCTTGAAAGAGCTGCAACAGTCAGTAAAGGCCAATGGACTCCAAGCCCCATATACGCAGGCGCTTTTAGAAGCCACATTAGCCCAGCTCTTGGTTCCAGATGACATCAAGCTTTTGGCCCATACAGTGTTACCCCCATCAGCTGGTGTTTTGTTTGCCCACGAATGGGAAGCTGCCTGCCGTGCTTATGCTCCGGCCTTGTTACAAGTCAGAGGAAATAATCCAAATATTACCCTCGCAGACGTCATAGATGCCATGATGGGGCGTGGTCCCTTCGTTCAAGCTTCAGTGCAAGCCACACTGCTGCAAATCTTATTGAGGGACACTGCTCTTGCTGCTAAACAAGCAATGAGAAAAATCCCAGAACCCAGTATTCAATCAAGGTGGGGTTCAATCAGGCAAGAGGCAAGAGAATCATATTCTTCCTTTATGGACAGGCTGCTTACAGCAGTGAGTCGCCAAATTGAAAATCCTGAAGCCAAACAAATAATTATCAAACAATTGGCCTTTGAAAATGCCAATGAGGATTGTAAGGTTGCGTTACGACCGATAATACACAATCCTGCCACAGACACAGCAGCCATGCTTCGCATTTGTCAGTCTGTAGGTACAGCCACCCACAAGGCTCATCTGCTGGCAGCAGCGCTAAATAAAAACCAGCCTGTAGCCACCGATAAAACCTGTTTCCAGTGTGGCAAACCAGGACACTTTAAGGCGCAATGTAGATCCACGCAACAGCCTAGGCGTCCTTCTACCAAATGTCCAATCTGCAAAAAAGGCTTTCATTGGGCCAATCAATGCAGATCGCTTTCCCAAAACTAACAGCAGGGTCAGTACACTGCCCGAAATCAGCAAGGACAACAGCAGGGAAACTGGCAGCAGGACCCACCCCGGGCCCAGACAAATCAATAGGGGACCCCCCGGAGTCCAGGGAAACAGCACCACGGCTTCGCCTGACTCAGGACGTAGAATTCCATTTGCCTTTCTGCCCTTTAAAGACTCATGTTCTCACTGAAGCAGGGTTAGACAATCATGCCACTTGTCTGGTATTACCTCTATTATCTGCACAGGCAACAGGAATTCATGCGGTACCGATGCTAACACACGGACCATATGTGAATTTCCCTGAGATCACGCTATATGCGGATCGTTCATGCAGAATACAGTCAAATACTTCAGTAGCGAAGATTATCATTTCCCCCCCATCCGAACAACTACCCCTAATTGCAGCAGCCATGAACATTACAGCCTCGCGCCCTTCTGTGTCTCTGACAGTGGGAGGTCGACGCATTGAAGGAGTTCTGGACACAGGGGCGGATGTAACAGTCGTGGCAAAATCTGCTTGGCCTTCCAGTTGGCCCACCTGTCCAGCCACACAAGTTATTGGTGTGGGAGGTGAATCACAGGCACGGCGCAGTCTCCACCCAATACTCATCCAAAGCGATAGCGGGGTTCAGATCACCCTCTATCCATTAATAATGGACATTCCAGTCTCCTTATGGGGGCGCGATATTTTGGCTATTGAAGACACCAAATTGGAGTCAAATTTATTCTAAGGGCCGCCCCTGCACTTCCACGCTCCGCACTGCCGTTACGATGGATCACCACTACCCCAGTATGGGTAGAACAGTGGCCTCTACCAAAAGAAAAATTAGCAGCGGCAGCCCAGCTTATTTCTGAACAATTGACCCTTGGCCACATTGAACCGTCCTCATCTCCCTGGAACTCCCCAATTTTCGTTATTAAGAAAAAATCAGGCAAATGGCGTCTTTTGCAGGATATGAGGAAAATTAACCAACAGATACAGCCAATGGGAACTTTACAACCTGGCATGCCAAATCCAAATATGCTCCCACGAGAATATCAGTTGGCGGTGATTGATTTAAAGGACTGTTTTTTTTCTATCCCACTGGCTCCAGCGGACAGGGAACGGTTTGCTTTTACATTGCCAGTATATAACAATTCGCAGCTCACCCAGCAATATCAGTGGGTTGTCCTGCCTCAAGGCATGCGGAACTCCCCTACACTTTGTCAACATTTTGTGGGTGAAGCATTGAAACCTTTCTGCAGGCGCCACCTAGAGGTTTTATGTTATCATTTCATGGATGACATTTTAATCGCTGCTAAGGAACTCCCGCCTGGCATTTTTCAAGAACTTTCTGCCACATTAGCGGAAGCGGGACTCTGTATAGCGCCTGAAAAAATTCAATTGACATTGCCCGCCACCTACTTGGGACATAAAGTCTCTGCACAAGCAGCGCTGCCTATTGTTCCCCAACTGACTATCCCTTCAAACATGAAGCTTGTGCAATTACAACTTCTTGGGCATTTGAATTGGGCTCGCTCTTTCCTTGCATTACCTACCAGCACACTATCACCATTGTTCTCAGCGCTCGCAGGACACAAAGATCCAGCAGATGTAATCCAGGTCACTTCAGCAATGATCACTGCATTACAAACCATTAATCAGCACCTGCGATCTATTCTCGTGGACAGGATCACAGAAGCCTCTGCACACAAGCTGCATCTGGCAGTGTTTGCTACACCGTTGTTGCCAACAGGAATTTTATATGCTCAGACGGAAAAGAAGAAGACTATCTGCATTATAGAATGGCTACATTTACCGCACACCCCACCAAAAAACATTTATTCCGTAATTGAATCCACATCAGACATTGTTATCAAAGGACGTTCACGTGCCATAGCTTTGAGCGGTTCTGATGTTGCATCAATATATCTGCCTTTCTCACAGACTGAACAGCAGCATTTATTCATAACTAATGCTGCCGTGCAAATTGCCTTGGCTGATTTTATAGGTGTCATCATTTTTAACCCTCCAAAGGATGACCGTTTGACATTTCTGACACAGGTCACCTATGTTTTGGCTACCCCCTTGTCTCTCACACCTCTCCCCTCTGCATTGACCCTTTTCACGGATGGAACAAGAAGTAGGGGGGTAGTGACATGGGAGGAGGGAGGACAATGGAAATGTTTATTTACCCCCCCCCCACAGTCTTCTGCTCAGCGAGCTGAGCTAGCGGCTGTGATTCGTGCCGTCAATCCTTTCCTACTCAACCTTTCAATCTTATTGTGGATACTCAGTATGTATATCGCCTTTTTGCTATTTTACCAATATCTTATATAACTCCTTCCTTGGATTCTGACTTGTTTTCCTTGTTTCTTTCCCTGCAGGCCTTACTTCAGCACAGAGAGTTCCCTTATTATGTTGCACATCTTCGCTCCCACACATTGCACCCAGGGTATTTAGCAGAGGGCAATGCAAGAGCAGATGCGGCTTTGAGGGACATTTCTGCCTTTTCTCTCTTTTCTGATCCTATACTATCTCATAACACCTTTCACCTTCCTGCGAAAGCATTGGCAAAGCAGTTTTCTATTCCCTTGGCCCAAGCAAGGGATATAGTTTCCCAATGTGCTTCTTGTTCTAAATCTCAGCTGGCCATTCCTTTTGATGCTGTCAATCCTAGGGCACGTCTGCATTGGCGTGTTGGCAGATGGATGTCACACACACACCTGTGTTGGCTCCACTCTCCAAGGTTCACCTCACGGTGGACACCCACTCTGGATTCATATGGGCTACGCCCATGAGGGGGGAAACAGCTCGGCATGTCATTCAACACACTATTCACTGTTTCTCAGTCATGGGTAAACCTGCGCGTATCAAAACTGATAATGGTCCAGCATATATTTCTAAAACATTTTCGGAATTTTGTATGTTGTGGAATGTGAAATTAACTCATGGTATACCCTTTAACTCCACAGGGCAAGCGATAGTGGAAAGAGCACACCTGACGTTCAAAACACTATTGCTTAAACAGCTTGGCGGCCGAAGCATACCAACAGCAGATATCCCTTCGGCAGTTCACCAAGTTCTTTTTGTACTTAACCATCTTTTATATCCACATCTTAGGACCCATACCCCCGCTGAATTGCATTTTAGGAAGGAGGAGGCACTCCCCCGCCCCTTGGTGGTGTACCGACGCTTGCCTGATCCCGCGTGGCATGGACCTGTCCCGCTGATCACGTGGGGACGAGGGTACGCGGCAGTGGACGTCGAGGACAAGCCTTTGTGGGTTCCTCAACTGCGGACGCGCCTTCCTAACCATTTGCCTTGCCATCCTTTGCTGCACCGTTATACAAGGAAGAGAAGCAGACGACCCAGTCCAGTTGAAACCACCATATTTCACCTCATCGGCTGGCAAGCAGCTGTTGTCAGCTTCCTACTCTGGCTGGCAGTATCCACGGCTCAGCCACTTTCGAACTAGAAGAACAGCGTTGTTGAATAAGACTTTTAGGGAGAAAATTATCATAAGATATGAAGGAATAATATTTTTGTACAAGATATGATTATGTTTACCGGTTTATTGCCGCCTTTTGCCAGTCATTCCGGCATAATGCTTCATGGTGTGCCTGTCAATGGATCTTTTCAATTTACTAATATTATATCCCCTAAGCAAACTTTTTGGCCTCCAGTACAATTGACCCTCCATGAGCCTGCCCCCATTTGTTTTCAAATTAAAGAGGGGAAAGAATCATGGGGCATATATCCAAACTGTCAATATACATTGAATTTCACTTTTAATAGCTCTTGTTCTCTTACAGGAACATACATGACCAATCTCAGTGCTATAGAAGCGATACCAGTGCATGGCTAAAAACTAGGATAGAATCCTACCATGCAAATCGGAGTCTGAATTCTTCTATCCCTGGCTTAGCAAATGCCACAGATGAGCAACTTCATATCAGTTCCTTATTTACTGCAGCCTTTAATTGGTCCCAACAGAGTAGTAATATCAGCTATTTACTCCAAAGAGAGTTATGGTTGCTTTGTGGCGAAAAAGCATACAAAGCCATTCCTCGAAACCTCACAGGCACATGTACATTGGGTCTCGTGGTTCCATTGTTGTATAAGGTTGATAAGTTACCATCTTCTCTTAGACTACGAAATCGTCGGGAGGTTAATTCGCCCTTAAACCAATATATCGGTACCCAGATCTCTCGGGCCTTGCTGCCCTCAGTGGGCGCAGCAATGAACTATAGGGACCTCCATCGGCTAGCAAATTGGACTGAAGGATTATTCAATGATACCATAAAGGCTTTGAAGAATCTCAGCCAGGAGGTGTCTGCAATGAGAGAGGTAGTTTTACAGAATCGTTATACTTTGGATGTGATTTTAGCCTCAAAAGGAACAGTTTGTGCACTTGTTCATTCTCATTGTTGTAAGTTTATTCCTGATAATAATGTCAGCATATCTGCGACGATTGATCATATGGAAACCATGGTAGCTCACAATCCGTTCGCTCCTCCGCCTTCCGTTGATCCATGGGCATGGTTATATTCTTGGCTTCCGGATGGGAGTTGGCTTCGACATTTATTGATTTTAGTGATCATTATAGTAGTTATTTGCATTATTTTGTGTTGCTGTATACAATGTATTCCTTCTTTAATTTCTATATGTACTGCATGGTTCTCCCGTCAGCGGCCTGCTTCTGGCCTCACAAGAGTCGCCTATCGCGCTTGATATAACCGTATTGGTACTGATATATATGACTCTGATTAAAAATATAAAGAAAGAGGGCATGTGGGAGCCAGGAAGTCATGGAAAAGGCTTGTAGCACCACCTGGTGCCTCGCTGACCTCGGTGACCTGCATGTCCGTGCCTTGCAGTGTATTAAGTGCATGACCCTATATGGCGATGGGTGGGTTTAAGCCATGACCGGATGTAGGTAATGTGAGACATTGGCAAACGGCCATGCGAGAGGAGAGAACAAAGGATGATAAAAGTTACGGGAGAGAAGAGAAGTTCGAAAGGAGCTGCTCATACCATCCTGAAAATATTGCTGGCTCTCTGTGTCTTTATTTTATGCTAAACTGCGCCATTTGTGATGGCGGGCTCCGTCATCACAGTTTGCTAGTAAAACTGAATTACTGTGTCGCAAAATGAGGCATGATTAAAAACTGTTTCACCAACATGAAAAGTTTGGAAAGCTCTGGATTATGTTAAAAACTGCTTTCTTTTATTCATATTTTGCAGTAGAAAACAACCAAGTATCTGAGGGTCACTTGAAGGCTGATAAACATGTTTCGAGATATATGTATATGTATATGTATATGTATATTGTCAGAGCTGCTTCCAGATCCTAGCTCACAGAGGATCACGCTAGCCAGCGATCATTAAACAAAAGTCTTTATTGAGTTACAGTTTCCATTCTCAAACTGCTGCGTGCAACTCTACGTCTCATGGTTAGACCGGCGAAGCTCCGTCTGAGTCTCCGCCCCTTGTACACCAACTTAATATCCTAGCCCTGCTCCACCTTTTCCGCCTGACTGTTCTTCTCTGGGTCCCTCTGCCCCTGGGGTCTCTTCTTTCCGGGATTCCTCTGACGCTGACCCCCTGACTCTTCTCCCTCCTTTCGGCGGGCTTTAGGACCTGGCTCCCTTCCGGGCTGCCTACTGTGCCACCTTCCTGTGCATTTGAACTTGCGCGCGCGCCCAACCTTCCACCTTCCGTCTGACCGTTTCTTCGCTCCCCGATGGAGGTGTGGCCACCCTGACTCGTGCCCTCCCCCTGCTGTGAGCTGCCAGCGCTTGATCCCTGGCTCCCTTCCTCTTCCCTGCTCTCTGGCGGTGACGCTGGTCCCGATCTCCAACTGCTCCCTCTGAGTCCCCTCTGGCTCTATCTTCCTGGGGCGTCCCCTAGGCTCCCCCTTGCCCTGGCCACTGGTGCTCCTTTCTGTGAATCTTCTGATTCACTGGAAAGACTCGGAGATCTCGGGTCGTCGTCATCACTCATCTTTTCTTCTGCCTCCTCCCCCTCGCTCTCTGTTTCCTCCCTTGCCCTTGCCTCTGCTCCTGAACCCCTGACATATATGTATATGTATATGTATTTTATTTAAAAAGTTGTCCAGTAGCACCTTAGAGACCAACTAAGTTTGTTCTTGGTATAGGCTTTTGTGTGCATGTATATGTATATGTATATATATTTTATTTAAAAAGTTGTCCAGTAGCACCTTAGAGACCAACTAAGTTTGTTCTTGGTATAAGCTTTTGTGTGCATGCACACTTCTTCAGATACCAACATGTTTTGGTTATGCAGGCAACTTCCTCTCCTCTCCGTCCTTTCCACTTGCCAGGGAGTTTTCCTTCTCCCTCCTGGTACTCACCAGATCTCTCTGAGGGTCCTGGGAGAGACTGGTCAGAGGTTGTGGGGAGGGATGCAGGAGACAGACGGACCAGGTCAACTGTCCATCTTCCTCTTTCCATCCTTGCTAGGTTTGTAGAGTCAGCCTCTCAAATCCTTCCGGAGGAGCTCAGATGCTAAAACGAGCTTTAGATTCCTGGGAGGGAGGAAAAAGGGAGTCTCAGAGCTCTTGCAAGGATTTTGCAATTTCCAGCATCATCATTTTGATGTACACATCCTGCCTTTACACATCCTGACGGGGGCTACAGCTGGCTTATAGCAAGAATTCCCTTTCATTCCACTGATCTGTTGAAGAGGCTGTGCATGGTGCATTCCCTCACACATTTTCCCTCCACAACAATCCTGCGAGGTAGGTTAAGATGGCAGGTTGCAATTGTCTCAAGGTGACCATGGGAGCTTTCTGGAGAAGCTGGGATTTGAACCTAATAGCTGAGGGAGTAACTATGTGCATTGGGCAAGCAGGGTGGAGGGAATGCAGAGCTCACACAATGATCCCTGATTATCGGGATCTGAATGCCAAGAACTAATGACCTCTTGAATTTTCCAGAGGGCACCAAACACTACAACCTGGTTTCTGAGTGTCATGGGCTGGAGTTGTGTTTAGAAGTCGGCTTTTCTACTTTTTCCAGAGAACGCAACATTTCCTCCACAACACCACCTGCGTTATATACAGTGGTACCTCGGGTTACATACGCTTCAGGTTACATACGCTTCAGGTTACAGCCTCCGCTAACCCAGAAATAGTGCTTCAGGTGAAGAACTTTGCTTCAGGATGAGAACAGAAATCATGCTCTGGCGGCACGGCAGCAGCAGGAGGCCCCAGTAGCTAAAGTGGTGATCCAGGTTAAGAACAGTTTCAGGTTAAGTACGGACCTCCGGAACGAATTAAGTACTTAATCTGAGGTACCACTGTACTAAGCTTGGATCCTAGAACAATAGGCAAGTAGGATCCTAGAATGCAAGAACTGATTGGCCTGCAGGAGAAGACCAATCAGGCTCCAGGAGGGAAGCAGAATCAGCCAATCGGACGGGACTCATTGTGTAAATGATGTATATAAAAGCCTGAGGTTTTGGGGGAAATTCAATCTCTATTTTACAAGCTGCAATAAAGAGCATGAAATCACTAAAAGACTCTGAGTATATTTCAACCACTAATCTGGGGGCGGGTGGCAGGGACGGGGCCAAAATGTTTTGGGGAGGCCCTGTCTGCATATTCCTCCTCTTTTTATGTGCAGGAGGGGAAATCTCTGTCCCTGCAGGGATTTTCCTGCTGGAGGGGATGCCTCTTCATGCGTGGGGTCCCCAGCCCCTGCTTCCACAGCAAAAGAGGGGACCTCCCTCCTGACCCCCCCCACTCAAGGAAGGCGGAGTCGTGCCTGGCGTCCCACCCTGGACTCGCCCCTCTCTTGCAAAGCCCCCTCCCTCCTCTTTCTCTTTGCAGATTGACTCTGCTCAAGGGAAATCCTGATACCAGCAGCAGCAGCAGCAGTAGAAACCCTGGAAAAGTGCGGGGAGGGGTAATCTCAGCCCACGCGTGGGAGCCAGGAAGTGGGACCCTAACACCCCTCCCCCGGACGCCTCCGTTGGAAGAGGACCCCCTACGCCGCACCACCTCTTCCTTGAAACTTTGCATTAAATTTTGGAGAGAAAGTTCCTCTCACTTTCCCCAGCGCCCTCCCCCGCTCCCACGTCGCCATGTCCGCATTAAAAGAGCTCACTTTCATCCTTCCCTTTCTTCCCGTCCGGAACCTTTGCTTGGCTGCCGCTGCCCGACCCCCCGACCCGTGCCTGGGCTTCTCATCTGGGACTCCCCCCCCCTCTTGCAAAGCTCCCTCCCTTCCCTTTGCACTCTCCCCATTGACTTGGCACTCACCGGAGATCCTTGAAGCAGCAGCGACCCTGTGCAGTGGGAGGTTGCGCACCCCCTCCCTTAAAATCCACCCACCTCAACCTCTTTCCTTGCAACGCCCTCGATTCTATCTTATCTAGCTTTATGCTGTTTAGGTATCTCTCCGGTCCCACGCCCCTTTCAATGCGTGCAGAGATGGGCTCCGCTCCCAGGCTGGCCAAAAGGGACCCAGCAAGACGCCCAACAGACGAGAGAGAAGCCGGCTGGTCCCAGAAGAGGGAGGTGCAAGAGAGGGGTGTGGTACAATGAGTGGAAACACCTGTTTTCTGCTCCTTCCGCAGACGCTCACCTAAAGCCGGTTCCTTTATTTTTGGGTTGTGTGCGTTGGCTTATACTTCTTTCTTCCTTTCATAAAATCAAGACTCCGTTATGTGGCAAGGGAAACTCCTCTAAGTGCTCTACCAAAACCAAAACGAAAAAGGTTAAAACGATAAAAACAGCACTAAGAAAGAATGGACCAGCAGCCTGCTTGGTAATCACGAGGCAGGGAGTTCCACAGCGTCGATGCTGCCACATGAAACAGCTGTGTTCTTAGAAATGTGGAAGGGCTGTTAGGTGGCACCTGGGGCAGCACAGATTCTCCCCACTGAAGTGGTCGTGTGGGGCACATGTGGGGTAAGCTGACAGGTCAACTGGTCCCCAAGTTAAGGGATTTATACCCAAAGACAAATTCAGCTGAACTTAACCATCCAGAGATAATTAAAGGCAATATGAATTTAAGAAATGCATAAAAGGTAAAGGTAAAGGGACCCCTGACCATTAGGTCCAGTCATGGCCGACTCTGGGGTTGTGCACTCATCTCACTTTATTGGCCGAGGGAGACGGCATACAGCTTCTGGGTCACGTGGCCAGCATGACAAAGCTGCTTCTGGCGAGCCAGAGCAGCGCACAGAAACGCCGTTTACCTTCCCGCTGGAGTGGTACCTATTTATCTACTTGCACTTGACGTGCTTTTGAACTGCTAGGTTGGCAGGAGCAGGGACCGAGCAACGGGAGCTCACCCCGTCACGGGGATTCGAACCGCTGACCTTCTGATTGGCAAGTCCTAGGCTCTGTGGTTTAACCCACAGCGCCACCCGCGCTGTGCATAAGAAGTGATAAAAACGGTGGATCATCAGAAGTCCAAAAAAAAAAAAAAAGATTGAATAAGTGGTGAAGTTTTGTGGTATGTATTATAAATTATATTTATACTTACACACCACTTAATGTTAAAATTAATAAAAATTATTATATATAAAAAAAGAACTTAACCATCCAGGGGTCCTTTACCTTTTTAAACACTCATACACAAATAAGACATTTGCTTGGCAAGTACCTGCCTACAAAAGCTCCCTGACTGATGTATCATAGTATTATAGAGTTGGAAAGAACCACAAAGGTCATCTAGTCCAACCCCCTGCAATGCAAAAAAATAATAATTCTCCAATGTGGAGCTACCCAGGGGCACCAAGTGGACTTCAGGGCCAAGTGGAGATTTGAGCCTGGATCTCCCAGGTCTTAGTTCAATATTCTAGCCAGTACACCATACTGCAGTAGGTTTGAGTGTGGGCAGTAGGGCACCTTATGGTATTTGACACCTTTTGTGGCATTCATACACTATTATAGAATTGGCAGGGTTGAGATCTGCGTCGGTGAGATGATAATTACAAGAGGAAACCAACTGAGCCAGTTAAACCAGTTTTTGTAAAAAAAATGGCCTTAAGAAAAGAGATTTGTTGTCATAGTTAGACTGACACTTCCAATTCTCCCTTTCCCTTCTATTTCTGCCCTTTGCACCTTTTCCAATTGCATTCTGAGACTTTCTTGATATAAGCATGCTCAGTTCTAAGCATCTGCGCTCACCAAATCTTTATTAGGAGCTCTTAGCTCAAACATGATCACTCAGTCCATGTGGGGTTCCTCTTAAGGTTTCGTTATTGCTAGTCAGCATGTCACCCTTCACTCCTTTACCTTGTGCTGTTTTTATTGGGCTACTTGGGAACTTTGCCTTGCCCACCTGTCAACTTTGTCCCCAGAGGCAAACCCAATAAAGATCTGGTCCATGGAGCCGAGAAGGTTCTCCACCCTCCCTCCAGAGGACCATACCAATTCAGCTTAGCTGGGAAGAGCCAATCAGGATGGGTCTGGGAAAGCTAATAGACACTTCTACGTGCCTCAAGAAACCGGGTTGGGGGGGGGTCTAGTAGAGAAGCATAAATTCCATACTTTTCTAAACCATACCAAGGTTGAATTCACTGATAATTAACCTAAAAAGCTATCTGATCAGCACACAAATACATTATATTTCTTCTTAAAGCAATAGCATTTGTCCAGCCCCCTTATCCAACTTGTCTTTCAAGCTATAAGCTTCTGGATGGCAGACACCTGTATATTGTGTAAAACTCTGTAAGGTGCCCTACACTGATGGTATGTCACATATAATAGACTGGGGGGAAATCCAATGGCAGGAACTGCTGGAATGAGCAATTTATGATGCATCAGAAGGTCGGCGGTTTGAATCCCCGCAACGGGGTGAGCTCCCGTTGCTCTGTCCCTGCTCCTGCCAACCTAGCAGTTTGAAAGCACGTCAAAGTACAAGTAGATAAATAGGTACCGCTCCAGTGGGAAGGTAAACGGCGTTTCCGTGCACTGCTCTGGTTCGCCAGAAGCAGCTTAGTCATGCTGGCCACATGACCTGGAAGCTGTACGCCGGCTCCCTCGGCCTATAGAGCGAGATGAGTGCACAACCCCAGAGTCGGTCACGACTGGACCTAACGGTCAGGGGTCCCTTTACCTTTACCTTTAGATCTCCATCTCACCAACCCTTTCTTCTTCCTCTGAAAATAGTAAATATTAACAGTGAAATTCCTCCTTCCTCTATCTTCCACAACATCGGCCCTACTGCACACCACACCTAATAGTGTGTCATTTACACACCGAGTTTCCCTGTTGTGTCTACGCTGTCAGAATCATGACAGAGGTGTGCATTATGCATGGTGTTGTGAACGAAGATGGGGAAAAGTCTTTCTCCGGCTTTAGTAATTCTAGAACCTTGTGGGGCTAGTGCAATGAAGCTTAGTACAAAGGAAATAAAGTACTGGGGCAACCCAGTCAGATGGGTGGTGTACAAATATTATTATTATTATTATTATTACGGTGCATTTGCTCCCACAATAAGAAGGGATGCCTCTGTTCGTATCTAGAGGAAAGTTCATAAGTCGAAGCACCTACTGAAGGTCGTAACTGGAATCGTATGTAAGTAGAGCCGTATGTAAGTCGAGGTTCCACTGTATATATGATTTTACCTAAAAAACCCCAAACCTGCTCCATATTTTTTCCATGTGACAGCCCTTGAGATATTTGAACATGGCTAACATCAGGTTTAAGGTGCTGGTTTTAGCCTTTAAAGCCCTATACGGCCTAGGACCCTTGTACCTACGGGACCGCCTCTCCTGGTATGTCCCATGGAGGACCTTATGGTATTCAAACAAAAACATCTTGGAGGTCCTGGGCCACAGGGAGGTTAGGCTGGCCTCAACCAGAGCCAGGGCTTTTTCGGCTGTGGCCCCGATCTGGTGGAACACTCTGTCACAAGAGACTAGGGCCCTGCGGGACTTGACATCTTTCTGCAGGGCCTGCAAGACAGAGCTGTTCCACCAGGCCTTTGGCCAAGGCACAGTCTGACCCCCGTCTTCTGTAATCCTCACAGAACTCTAGCCCAATTGAGGCAAGGAAAGAAGGGCTACCCTTATGCTATTCATATAATCAGTTATCAGTAATCAATATATTCATATATGCTCACATAGAATCAGGGCTTACAGTATTTTTATAATCCATTTTGAATCAAAGGAAAGCTTTTGCCTTAGCTAACTGCAAACTGCTTGGAACAGCAACTTAGAACCGACCTTTCCCCTAGAAACATCGTTGTACCCTGAACAAGGGGAAGACATGAATCAGAGACACTGGTACAAAATCCCCCTCAAATGCAGGCTAAATTAATCTGCAGAACAGGAAGGGCCAAACCACAAAAACTCCAAAACTCCCTGTTCTGTCAGAACTGGGGAAAAGGTCAGATTGTGCATCATTTGTGCAGACAACGGAAAGCAGAAGTTGGGAGTAGAACTCTGCGCTTGACCAGGAGCCGTAAGCATGGCAAGAAGCACGCTAATTGGCTAATTTTCGCTGGCGTTCGTGACTGTCCCATGATCTGTGATTTGCTCAGGTATAAAGACCTCAGGATTGTGTTTCTCGGGGCCCCAGTTCTTTGGAAGAGATTCCAACTGGGTCCTTATTGCTCAGCAATAAAACCTCACCTTCTTTTTCTCCAAAGCTGTGTCTGCCTGATCCTTGTTCACTCTAAGTGGGTACCTACCTTACTTTCACGTGCTTCACAATGGTTGCCATTAATTTGATTCTGAATTGATTTTAGAATGTATTTTAAATAACTGATTGTGATTTTATGTAAACTGTGTTACTTTTATTGTTGTTACCCGCTCTGAGCTCGGCTTCGGCTGGGGAGGGTGGGATATAAATAAAAAATTATTTATTCATTATTATTATATCTCTCAAGTGCCCTTTTTTCAGGTTAAAAATACCCTTCTCCTTCAACCGTTCCTCAAAAGGCCTCATTTCCAGAGCCTTGATCAGCTTGTGTGTCCCCCTCTACACACGTCCCAGATTGTCAACATCCTTCTTAAACATCCTCCTTTGCCTGAAGCTCTTTCCATGATTTTAGTACTTAAGAACATAAGAAGAGTCTGCTGGATCAGGCCAATAGCCCATCTAGACCAGCATCCTGTTCTCAGAATGCCCAACCAGATGGATGCAGGAAGCCTGAACATAAGAGCAACACTCTCCCTTCCTTCTGTGGTTTCCAGCAAGAATTACAAAACACACAGCAAAGCAAAGCGCAGAGATTTAGGTTGTTAGGCCTTTAAAATACCCCCTTCTAAGTTTTCCCCAAAGCTCCCCACTTCACCTTAGCATACATAGAGATCACAAGCTCGGCAAGTTAAAAACCATTTACTTACAAACCCTTCAAAGGTCAGATTCATGTGCTTTCCCATGCAGCAGCAAGAAAAGACAGGCAGTTTAATTTTGTTTCAAAATGTGGCAAATGTTGCTACGTTATTTGTATAGCAACACAAAGATGGCTTGCTAAAGGCAGGTGGTCTAAGCTTGGAGCAAAGACACCCTTACTAATCAGTTCACATGGTGGAAAGGAGAGAGAACAAAGAGTTTGGTAAGCCTTCCTCCGAAGGTGAGGGAGTGTGACCTAACAACAACAACAACAACAACAACTTCTTCTTCTTCTTCTTCCTCCTCCTCCTCCTCTTCTTTTGCGATCACTCGTAGCCGAGTAAGATTGTCTTCCATAAACACGGTTTTAACAATGAATCCATAAGTGACTGTGGAGGCCAATTCTGGATCCACATGTCCTTCCACAGTGGGGACATTGCCTACCTGGCAGGACAGCATATTCTGTGCCAATCCTGAAGGTACTGGATTTGTGACTGATATGCTCATTTGCCTTCAGAAGTAAACTCTGCTGGATGAAGCTAATTGCCTCTGGTCTATTTTTTGCTGTTTAAATTTTTACTCTGCTAACGATGAGTTGGGGTCTGCTCTGGATCAACATCAAGCAGAATTCATGACAGGTTATATGCAGCCAATTTATCCCATGCAATCTGCATTTTCAATGACAAACCTAGACAGCAACTCAATGACAAACCTAGACAGCATCTTAAAAAGCAGAGACATCACGTTGCCGACAAAGGTCCGTATAGTTAAAGCTATGGTTTTCCCAGTAGTGATGTATGGAAGTGAGAGCTGGACCATAAAGAATGCTGATCGCCGAACAATTGATGCTTTTGAATTCTGGTGCTGGAGGAGACTCTTGAGAGTCCCATGGACTGCAAGAAGATCAAACCTCTCCATTCTGAAGGAAATCAGCCCTGAGTGCTCACTGGAAGGACAGATCGTGAAGCTGAGGCTCCAATACTTTGGCTACCTCATGAGAAGAGAAGACACCCTGGAAAAGACCCTGATGTTGGGAAAGATGGAGGGCACAAGGAGAAGGGGATGATAGAGGATGAGATGGTTGGACAGTGTTCTCGAAGCTACCAGCATGAGTCTGACTAAACTGCGGGAGGCAGTGGAAGACAGGAGTGCCTGGCGTGCTCTGGTCCATGGGGTCACAAAGAGTCGGACACAACTAAACAACTAAACAACAACAACAATCTGCATTCTGAACATGTGCACAATTCCTCCCCATATGGATCCGGCGATGTTTCAAAAGATTTCTACAGTGACTGAAGCTCTTTCCGCATTCAGAACACTTGTAGGTTTCTCCTGTGTGTGTGTCCTCTGATGTGAGCTCAGGTTTATCCTCCGGCTGAAGCTCTTTCCACACTCTTGAGCAGTTGTATGGTTTCTCCCCCGTGTGGGTTCTGTGGTGCCTCGTAAGGTTTATCATACGACTGAAGCTCTTTCTGCACTCCGAGCATGCATAGGGCTTCTCCCCGGTGTGGGTTCTGTAATGTCTCGTAAGGTGCGTACTTCGGCTGAAGCTCTTGCCGCACTCCGAGCATGCGTAGGGCTTCTCGCCTGTGTGGGTTCTGTGATGCTTTGTTAGGCTCGTGCTGTGGCTGAAGCTGTTCCCGCACACCGGACACTTGTATGGCTTCTCCCCCGTGTGGATTCTGTAATGCTTCTTAAGGTTCGTGTTTTCGCTAAAGCTCTTTCCGCACTCTGAGCATATATAGGGCCTCTCCCCGGTGTGGATTCTCTGATGAGAAGTAAGGTCTGGCTGAAGCTTTTCCCGCACTCCAAGCACTCGTACGGCTTCTCTCCGGTGTGAACTCTCCGGTGCGTGCAGAGATGTGAACGCCACTTGAAACTCCTTCCGCACTCCAGGCATTTATATGGGCTCTCCCTAAGGAGAACACTCTGTGCGTCCTGGTTTTTTATCCTCGTTAAGATTTTGGTACGCTGGGACAGTTCAGTCCTTTTGTTCCCTGTGTGAGAGTCTTCTAGCGCCGGGATTTCATGGAAGTCAGACCTTTCCGATCTCTTACTCCGCTTCTGTCTGGGCTGTGTCTCCCGCCTCTGCTGCTCACTTTCTTTCTCATTCCTCCTCCCATCACCTGAACTGGTTAATAAACCTTGATGATGGGGAAATAGATAAAAAAATAAACCCAATTAACAGAAGTGGAATTGGAGAGTTGGATCTGGCCACACACTCAGTTGTATGGTTGATTAGCTGTAACGATGTCGTGCAGTCCTCCCCAACCTGGTACCCTCCAAGTGTTTTGGACTACAAGTCCCATGAGCCCCCAAACAGCATAGTCAGTGCTGTTGCTTCATCCCACAGCCTAGGACCCTCTTACCTACGGGACCGCCTCTCACAGTATGCCCCGCGGATGACCTTAAGATCCATAAATAGCAACACCCTAGAGGTCCCGGGCCCTAAGGACGTCAGATTAGCCTCAACCAGAGCCAGGGCCTTTTCAGCACTGGCTCCGGCCTGGTGGAACGCTCTGCCTCATGAGACCAGGGCCCTGCAGGATCTGATTTCTTTCCGCAGGGCCTGTAAGACAGAGTTGTTCCACCTGGCCTTTGGCTTGGAATCAACTTGATCCCCTTCCCCTCTTTCCTTTTTCCTTTCTCCTTCTGTGATGGAACTCCTATTTGGGGACTTCCCTGGCTTTTTTCTGGCCCACAAAGGACCAGTCTGGATAGTTGGCCTTGGTGAAGATGTGACATTTTCATCCCCCAAAAGTTTTTGATTTGAGTTTCTACTGAAATGAGGCTGCATTTTAATGTTGTATTTTAATCTTGTTTTTAAGTTGTATTTTAATCAATTATTTTTATACCTGGTGTTAGCCGCCCTGATCCTGGTCTTGGTTGGGGAGGGCGGGGTATAAATAAAATTTATTATCATCATCATCATCATCATCATCATCATCATCCATGGCTTTGCTGGCTGAGTCTAGTAAGAGCTGTAGTCCAAAAATATCAGGTTGGGGAAGGCTGAGTTAGTCATCGAATTATAGAATTGTAGAGTTGGAAGGATCTATTTCAACCCCTGCAATGCGGGAATCACATCTAAAGAATCCCTCAAGGATGGCAATTCAAGCTCTGCTTAAAAACCTGCAACACAGGAGAGTGTGTTGAGCAGCGTCAGGGATTGCATGCTGCTTTGTCAGGCTTGTCAGGAATTCTTCAGCCAAGATTCCTGCATTGCAGGAGGTTGAACTAGATGACCCTGAAGGTGCCTTTCAATTCTATACTTCTGGAACCTCTATGTCCCTTAATTCCAACGGGCCTGCTCTCAGTAAAGCCTAAGCTGGCTACCACCCATTATATTTTAGCATTTCCATACTGCCTATGAACACTGCAACGTTCTCTTTAGGATAGTATGTATGGCACCTTGTAGGCAACTCATAAACGTTACAGATGAATAAATAAGAATCATAGAATCATAGAGTTGGAAGAGACCACAAGGGCCATCGAGTCCAACCCCCTGCCAAGCAGGAAAGGTCAGACCACACCTGGAATACTGTGTCCAATTCTGGGCACCATAATTTAAGGACGTTGACGAGCTGGAACGTGTGAAGGAGGGCAACTAGGATGATCAAAGGTCTGGACACCAAGCCGTATGAGGACCGCTTGAAGGAGCTGGGTATGTTTAGCTTGGGAAAGAGAAGACTAAGAGGAGATACGAGAGTCATCTTTAATTATCTGAAGGGTTGTCACATGAAAGATGGAGCAAGCTTGATTTCTCCTGCCCTGGAGGGTAAGACTTGTACCAATGGCTTCAAGTTACAAGAAAGGAGATTCCGACTCAACATCAGGAAGAACTTTCTGACAGTAAGAGCTGTTTGGCAGTGGAATGGTCTCTCTCAGGAGGTTGGATTGGCCATATGGCAGTGATTTTTTAGCTGGGATTCCTGTATCGCAGGGGGTTGGACTAGATGCCTCTTGGAGTCCCTTCCAACTCTACAATTCTATGATTCCATGAAATACAGCAGCAAAGGAACACAGAGCAGCCACCATACTCCTCAGTGACTTCACAAAAATACGTGAATGCAAACAGATAACAATAGCAATCCTGGCTTACAGCAAATATCAGCGAAAGGAGGCCCTTACCCAGAGAGGACATATTCCCATAATTGTCCTCCATGACTTCCTTGTATAGATCCCTTTGGCCTGGATCTGGCAGAGCCCAGTTCTCCTCGGTCAAATGCACAGCCACCTCCTCAAACATCACCGGATCCTGAAAGATGTAAACATCCAAAAACACAAAGGGGGAAAGGCAGAGGGGCTTGGGGAGTCTCCCTGCAGGAACCAAAGCATGCTTGGCTTGCCTAGTGGGCAGATTTGGCAGAATCCGAGGGAGATGAGTAGGGGATGGAGGAAACCCATCCTGCCTCCCTCCCACCCAGCTAATTCATCTCCTACCTGATCTGGCCGCTGCACAGCAAGAGCTTCAGTTCCATTGCAAAGAGGGGAAGACCTAGAATGACGCGCCAAGGTCATTTCATCACCTGTAAGGCAGGCAAAGCGGGTGGGAGGACATTAGATCCCATTAGCTGTCTGGCCCTGTTCAAGTGTCAAAGCCCTGAATGGTGCTTTCTGACACATTTTTCTTTATAAGATCATTTATGACGACACGTCCTAGCTCATCATCCATAGATTCAAACTGCAATATAAGAAATTGCAATGCAAGGAACAAAGGGAGCTATTAAAGTACAACCAGAAAGTCTATAGGAATTTCCAATGCAATGGACACATGATATGCCACCTCCATCTACAAATCCACAGGCGCCCAAATTACAAGTTCCTGAAGGTTCCTGAAGGAGCATCTCCACCCCCATCATCCAGCCCAGACACTGAGATCCAGCTCCGAGGGCCTTCTGATGGTTCCCTCTCTGCAAGAAGTGAAGCTACAGGGCCTTCTTGGTAGTGGTGCCCTCCCATCAGATGTCAAGCAGATGAGTAAACTATATAACCTTTAGAAGGCAGCCCTGTACAGGGAAGCTTTTTAATGTGTAATGTTTTATTGTTTTTATATATGTTGGATGTCGCCCAGTGTGGCTGGGGCAACCCAGTCAGGTGGGAGGGGTACAAGTATTAAATTTACTATTATTATATTATTATTATTCACATACCATTTTGGGAGGGGCAGTTATAGTGATAGTATTTACTCAAAACAACAACAACTGTATATCCAGTGAAATTAATGGGCCAAACTTAGTCTTGCTCATTAATTTCAATAGGTTAATGTTTTATACGTTAATCGTATGCAGTGGTTCTTTCGTAAGGTATGTTGTAGTTGATGGCATTAATATTCTAATCAATGTGACATCTGTGTTTGAATGGGAAAGAAATAATAAATAAATGCACGGCTACTGATCATTACCTGGTGAGGTAGCTCTTCCGTCGCGCTCTATCACGACCCATCTGAATGTAGGATCTGCTGGAAACTTCTCTGTCTCAGAGAAATCAGGGGCCACATCTGTCTGCTCCTCCACCTGAAACAGCAGCAATGATGGTCGCTGGCAGGTAAGGAAGAGCCATCAGGAAAGGAAAAGGGCAGGCCAAGGCCAAGGCCAAAGCGTGGCTTGAACAAACTTGGGATCCTTCCATATGAAAGCACCGACACTTTGGAACTCCCCGCGCATTGATATCCGTCAGGTGCAAGTACCCGCTAAAAACTTTTTTTGACTTACCTGTTAAAAGATATTTAGAATGCTGACATGTTTTACTTTATTGTCATTTTCTGAATGTTTTAATTGTTGTTGATTTTTTTTTACTAATAATCCCATATAAAATTTTTACGAAACAAAACAAATTTTAAAAGAGATATTTGGGGGGTAAAAAAAAACCCTGGTGAACTTCTTTGTGACATCTGGTTTTATCAGTAATTTTAATGCACATTGTATAGTGGTACCTCGGGTTAAGAACTTAATTCGTTCTGGAGGTCCGTTCTTAACCTGAAACTGTTCTTAACCTGAAGCACCACTTTAGCTTATGGGGCCTCCCGCTGCCGCCACAGCGCAATTTCTGTTCTCATCCTGAAGCAAAGTTCTTAACCCGAGGTACTATTTCTGGGTTAGTGGAGTCTGTAACCTGAAGCGTCTGTAACCTGAAGCGTCTGTAACCCGAGGTACCACTGTATATAAATCTCTTAGTGGCGTCAGTGATTAAGCAGGACACAAATCCCATTAGATAAAAAAATAAGGAGTTCAAAATACAGTTGTACCTTGGTTGGCGAACGGAATCCGTTCCGGAAGTCCGTTCGACTTCTGAAAGCGATCGAAAACTAAGGTGCGGCTTCCGATTGGCTGCAGGATCTTCCTGCACCCAATCGGAAGCCGTGTTGGACGTCCGGGTTCCAAAGAACGTTTGCAAACACTCACTTCCGGGTTTGCGGCATTTGGGAGCCAAAACATTCGAGTCGCAAGGCGTTCGTCAACCAAGGTACAGCTGTATTACTGATCCTGTTGTCTACCTCTTCAGATGACAATAAAACAATCTCACCTGCTTCTCCTCTTCCTGCTTCTTCCCCTCTGCCTGGCTCAGGAGGAAGCCTTCGGCCAGGGCCACCGCCTGGGAGCTGGTCTCCGCTCCACACTCCCTGACCCAGTTCTCCATCTCCGGGGGGAGGACAGCCAGGAACTGCTCCAGGACCACCAGGTCCAACATCTGGGCCTTGGTGTTACTTTCCGGCTTCAGCCACTGACGGCAAAAGTGATGGAGCTGACTGCAAGCCTTACGGGGTCCTCCGGCCTCCTGGTAGTGGAAACGTCTGAAGCGCCTTTGCGGAGCATCTGACGTGGCCTTTTCCTCTCCCAGCGTCTTCTGCGCTGTCCTGTCCCTGTAAGCTTCACAGCTCCCTGCTTCGATCGGATCAGGAAAAGAGGAGTCTCTCTCCTCCATCTTTTGCTCTAATACTACTACTACTACTACTACTACTACTACTACTAATTTATTTTTACCCCACCCATCTGGCTGGGTTTCCCCAGCCACTCTGGGCGGCTTCCAACAGAACAACAGAACACTAAAATACAATAACCTATTAAACATTAAAAGCTTCCCTAAACAAGGCTGCCTTCAGATGTCTTCTAAAAGTCTGGTAGTTGTTTTTCTCTTTGACATCTGGAGGGAGGGCATTCCACAGGGTGGGTACCACTACCGATAAGGCCCTCTGCCTGTTTCCCTGTAACTTGGCTTCTCGCAGCGAGGGAACCGTCAGAAGGCCCTCGGCGCTGGACCTCAGTGTCCAGGCAGAACGATGGGGGTGGAGACGCTCCTTCAGGTATACTGGACCGAGGCCGTTTAGGGCTTTAAAGGTCAGCACCAACACTTTGAATTGTGCTTGGAAACTTACTGGGAGCCAGTGTAGGTCTTTCAAGACCGGTGTTATATGGTCTCGGCGGCCGCTCCCAATCACCAGTCTAGCTGCCGCATTCTGGATTAGTTGTAGTTTCCGGGTCACCTTCAAAGGTAGCCCCACGTAGAGCGCATTTCAGTAGTCCAAGCGGGAGATAACTAGAGCATGCACCACTCTGGCGAGACAGTCTGCGGGCAGGTAGGGTCTCAGCCTGTGTACCAGCCTCTGTACTTCAAGCTTCCAAGACCACAGAAAGACTTTATTCCTTGTTCTTCTGTCAATTTCTCTCCCTCTGAGCCGAAGGCTTCCCCCAGATCAGAGAGGCTGCAAGGACCTGCACAAGTGCAAAGAGTTGCATTGTGCATCGAAAGCTCTCGAGGCACAAATGAGTTTTGCACAAGCAGCAACATCAGAGGAGAAGAAGAATCATAGAATCATAGAGTTGGAAGAGACCACAAGGGCCATCGAGTCCAACCCCCTGCCAAGCAGGAAACACCATCAGAGCATTCCTGACATATGGTTGTCAAGCCTCTGCTTAAAGACCTCCAAAGAAGGAGACTCCACCACACTCCTTGGCAGCAAATTCCACTGTCGAACAGCTCTTACTGTCAGGAAGTTCTTCCTAATGTTTAGGTGGAATCTTCTTTCTTGTAGTTTGGATCCATTGCTCCGTGTCCGCTTCTCTGGAGCAGCAGAAAACAACCTTTCTCCCTCCTCTATGTGACATCCTTTTAGATATTTGAACATGGCTATCATATCACCCCTTAACCTCCTCTTCTCCAGGCTAAACATGCCCAGCTCCCTTAGCCGTTCCTCATAAGGCATCGTTTCCAGGCCTTTGACCATTTTGGTTGCCCTCCTCTGGACGCGTTCCAGTTTGTCAGTGTCCTTCTTGAACTGTGGTGCCCAGAACTGGACACAGTACTCCAGGTGAGGTCTGACCAGAGCAGAATACAGTGGCACTATTACTTCCTTTGATCTAGATGCTATACTCCTATTGATGCAGCCCAGAATTGCATTGGCTTTTTTAGCTGCCGCGTCACACTGTTGGCTCATGTCAAGTTTGTGGTCAAAGTTTGTGTAATCAAACATAAGAGTTGACTGAATCAGGCCAGTGGCCCACCTAGTCCGACATCCTGTTCTCACAGTGGCCTGTGGGAAACCAGTAAGCAGGATTCGAGCACAGGAGCACTGGTGGTAGCGAATGACTAATAATAATAATAATACATTTTTATTTATACCCCGCCCTCCCTGGTCAGAGCCGGGCTCAGGGTGGCTAACACCAGTAAAATTACAATAAAAAATAAAATAAATAAATAAACAAATTTAAAATAGAGGTTAAAATATAATTTAAAATGCAGCCTCATTTTAATAGTAGCCCATAGATCAAGACCATAAGGGGAGGGAAAACATAAGGGTCAGGCTGAGTCCAAACCAAAGGCCAAGTGGAACAGCTCTGTCTTGCTGGCCCTGTGGAAAGATGTCAAGTCCCACAGGGCCCTAGTCTCTTGTGACAGCACGTTCCACCAAGTCGGGGCCAGTGCTGAAAAGGCCCTGGCCCTAGTTGAGACCAATCTAACCACCTTGGGACCTCCAAGGTGTTGTCATTTGTGGACCTTAAGGTCCTCCGCGGGGCATACCAGGAGAGGCGGTCCCGTAGGTACGTGGGTCCTAGGCCACATAGGGCTTTAAAGGTCAAAACCAGCACCTTAAACCTGACCCTGTACTCCACTGGGAGCCAGCGCAGTTGGTAAAGCACTGGATGAAATGTGATCCCCCGGCAAGGAGCCTCGCCACGGCATTCTGCACCTGCTGGAGTTTCTGGGTCAGCTTCAAGGGCAGTGTAGAGCGAGTTACAATAATCAAGCCTGGAGGTGACCGTCGCATGGATCACTGTGACCAGATCAGGGCGAGAAAGGTAAGGGACCAACTGCTTAATACGGCGGAGATGGGAAAATGCCACCTTTGCTGTGGCTGCAACCTTCGTCTCCATGGGAAGGGCTCCAGCTGACACTTTGCACCAGCTGACACTTTGGAACTCCTTGCCACTTGATATCAGGCAGGGTACCATCACTGTACTGTTTCAAAGCTGGCTGGAAACACTGCTGGCAAGCATTTTACATGTCTCCCTGCAGGAAACACAGGCGGATGTCAAGACTAAGAAAACGATTAGAGATTGGAGTGTGTGTGGAGGAGGGAGTTCTTCAGCTTTGGTCATGAAGCAGAGAGAGAGAGGACTATTGACGGGTACCAGCCGCGATGGCTGTGCTGGAAACCGCAGAAGGAAGGGAGAGTTGCTCCTGTGCTCAAATCCTGCTTGCTTGATTTCCATTGGACCACCGGGAGAACAGGATGCTGGACTAGACGGGCCGCGGGCCTGATACAGAGGTCTCTTCTTCTGTCATCTTGTGTTCTTCGCCCCAACTTCAGAGGGAACAAGAAGCCTCTACCTTGAAGGAGTGCTCAGATATGAAGACAAATATATAAGTAAAGGACCTGCCCACATGATACAAATCCCCGTGATGACACTATGCAACAGAATGAAACAACAACATCCCCCTCTTTCTCTCCCCCCCCCCCAAAACCCACAAGATAAACCGTGACAAAGACTCTGTGAATTGAAAGGGGAGGTGCTATATGCACCTTTACTCATTTATTTGTTTATAAAACCTTCAGTAAAAGCTTTTTTTAAGAAAGAAAGGGACTGGGTAAAAGGCGGATACAGATGATTTTAAACAGATCGTCATGAGTTCATATGATTTTTTCATTCAAACCCTGAGGATCCATGGTTCAGTACCACGTTTTGGGGCCACAGTGTCGTCAGGAAGCCGTGGATCAGTGATTTTTGTGGCGCAGGCTGTGCCCATGGCCATGATATTTGATGTGATGGTGACTTCGGGCTTATCTAGTGCAAAAATCATAACGATCCACAAGGATCCGTGTTTTTTAATCATGTTTTTGCGCCATTGCGGCCCCACGAAACAGTGGATGCGTGTTTTTTTTGATGTCGCCTACAGGCTAAGATGTGGTCTAGAGTATCATGGTGGTTTTATTTTGTTTCAATATAAAAATCATATGAATTCATGAGGATCCATGCCTCGGTTCCCTGTTTTTGTGGTGCTGCAGTGCAGCAAAGTGTTGGATCCACGTTTTTTATAGTCCGGTCTGTAGGCGGGCCTTCCAGGTGTGATTTGACACTGGATTTGTTGGAGTTATTTTTTTTAAAAGTGGAGGAAGGCAGGCAGGTAGGCTCAGATACCCTCCCTTTTGCGGCTTCTTCCTAGACCTACCTACTCACCCTCCCCTCTGCACCCCCCCCCCCGCTGCCCGCTGCGTCTTGGGTGGTCTCCTGCCCTCCCCCTCCCCCCAATCTGCAGCTTCCTGACTTTTATGGACTTGCCTTC